TCCCAGAGAAAACTCTGGCTTGATTTGCTCCAGGACTCACTCGTTTGCCTTATGGCTGGCAAGACTATTTGCCAAGCTCTCCTGAAGTGCCGTGTTTGGGTTTCTTCCCTGCCCACCTTTCACACCCAGACTTAGTGAGCAAAGAGGCCAGATGCTGCGAATTGGGCACAAGGTGCTGGTGGCCAGTCTGGATGGTGGGTGGAGGGCAAATCAGCTGAACACAACTTCCAAAAGCATCCCAAAGTCCATACTCATCACAAAGAATCTTCCGGAACAGACCTACTCAGGATCAGCACAGTACAATATTTCAGATTTTGCATACCTTGCAAGAAATTAGGACTAGATAGCTCAGGAGAAAGTATGGACACTCTGTTTCATGTAGTAGCAGCAGGGACGATGCTTTCAAATTGGCCATTTTTTTTTTTTTTTGCAACAGCTCAACTGGGAAGACAGGGGTTAGGGGGTCAGACTAGATGACCCAGGAGCCCGCTTCTGATTCGCTCTGTTTCTATGTTAGATTTTGGGCCTTTCTGCTGCAGGAGAAAACCCTGGAGTGGCAGAGGACCTCCATGTCAATGCAGTTCACACATGCTTAGTAGTGATTTGGAAGTTGTGTTGCTAGGAAGCCTGGCAGGGCGATGCATCTTCTAGCCATTGTGCAGAAGGCAACGGCTGGACAAGATTTAATTTGGAAAGTTAATGCAGGCGGAGAGAATCATAGAATGGGGAGGGGTGGGGCTGTCTCCAGGCAGTTTAATTTTCAATTCCTTCCCTAATTATGTCCAAGAATTTGCCAGCATGGTGTAGTGGTTAAGAGTGTGGGACCGGGACTCAGGTGATCCGGGTTCTAGTCCCCACTCAACCATGGGGCCACCCGGGTGACTTTGGGCCAGTCAGAGCCTCAGCCCTACCTACCTCACAGGGTTGTTGTTGTGGGGATAAGACAGAGAGCATGAAGAGGGGAATGATGTAAGCCGCCTTGAGTTCATTGGGAAAAAGTGGGATATAAATCTAATAAATAATCCTAATCCCCACAATAGCCCTGTGAGGTAGGCCATGCAAAGAGTTGGCGACTGGCCCATAGCTCCCTGGCTGAGCGCCCTTGCTGAGTCTCAGCCCCATGGCTTTAACTACTACTCCACAAAGACTGTGCCAACCCCCATGAGTCCGCCCTAGAGGTGTGTCCAGGCCGGAATAGCCAGAGCTGATTGGAGGGTCTTTCCCCTCTCCAAGTTGAAATAAAAAGGGATCTGCTTCGCTTCCCTCTCCTTTCACTTTGCCGGAACCTTGTGGGAGAGCTGGATGGATCCATGTAAGTTGAGGACCTTTTCTTACCACCTCCTTCCACTGTGTTTTAATGTTTTTGTTTCACTGTAATTTTAATCAAGTTTTTAAGGGCTTGGCTCCTATGATTTTTATTCACCTTGTTCACTATTTCATGGAGAGGCAGGGTGCAAATTAAATAAATCATCAGTCCCCCTTTCCTGGTGTGTGGTGGTCCCGATCCAAATGGTGTTTGCGTGGGCCTACACTGGAGTAAAGAAAAAGCGAATCTTCAACTGTGCATAACATATAGCTTGGCTCCTATATCAGTGTTTCTCAAATGCATTATAATTATTTGATTGCATTGTTTGTATTAAGCTATCTGTTAATTTTATGGGTGTTGTTGCGGGCTCTTATTCTCAAGCAAGGCTATTACTTAGGGTTGTATCTAAGAGTAAGCCTTTGTAGAGTAGACTCATTGAAATGAAAGAGATTTTATTTTTATTTTAATTAAAACATTTATATGCCATCCTTTGAGAGATGCAAGATAGATGTGACTAGCTTCAATCTAATTCATTTCAATGGGTCTGCTCCACATAGGATGTTTTTATATTTTAAAATTTATTGCTTTATATATATATTATACAAGAATAGGATGAAAGAAGCTCTGGGGAAGTTTTTCTCTAAATTCATGCCTAGAAATATTTCAGGTCGCTTGCAGTGCCTGCTCCTTTGCTCCCCTGCATCTCCAGCAGCCTTCCCAACTGTGGTGCTTGCTGGATTACAACTCCCATTATTTCTGATGGAATAATATGAGGTGGCAATGATGGGGACTGTAGTTCAACACACCTGGTTGAGGAACATTGATCTAAACAACTATGGAATCTCTTTCCAGAAAGGAGCACCTGGCACCAACTTGGCACCAGGCCAAGACCTTATTATTTCTCCAGTATTTAGAATGTTCGTTCTATCTATCTATCATCTATCTATCTATCTAGCTATCATTATGTTTTTATTGTATTTTTATTTGTTTTTATGGATTTTATTAACCACCCAGAGAACTTTGGCTGTGGGGTGGTATAGATAAATAAATACATAATGATAATATAGAGGGGAAGGAAGAAGAGATGAGGTGCTAGCTGTCTCCTCTTAATTCCTTACTTCTTCCACAGCCTCCACTATATTTGTTTTCATTGCAAGCCACCCAGAGAACCCTTTGGGCTATGGGGGGGGGCATATAAATATAATAAAATTCAGTGGTAGACTGCTCTTGAGCAAGGAGGCTCTGCATAGCTTTTGAGCTGCATATCCACGGTTTGCTTGCCTAACTCTGGCATTACATCTCTCTCAGCATTTCCTGCATTTTCAGCCTGTGTTACGTTAAAGATTTGGGAATAGGTGAGAACAAATTGCCTATTATATTATGTGTGAGAGAGAGGGAGGGAGAGATTTGCTTAGTAGTCAGTCATTTACTCTGGTTTTTATCCTGCTTTTCAGACAATAACTTTCTTCCAAAGTAGCTCAAGTTAACATTGTTTTTACTGTTATTATTAACAGTACCAAGAATAAATGAAGGTTACAGTGCTCCTCCTCCTCCTCCTCCTCATCAGTTGATGCTGCCATCTGGCTTAAACACTTAAAAGAGAAGCCAGGCCAGGAAAGGGAATGGAGGGAAAGGTGTGAGCAGCCACATGAGATCCAGTTTGGCCTTTCGGTCTAGTTCAAGCCAAGCCTTCCCATGTGGGGCCCTCCCATGGCTGGCTCTGGTGTCATTGGTCCAGCCTTCCCCAGCCTGGCACCCTTCACTGGACTACACCTCTCAGCATCCCCAGCTACATGCTGGCTGGGGCAGATGGGAACTTATCTGGAGGGCGTGAGGCTCAGCAAGGCTTCTGGCCAGGGGATGGGGCTAGCCTGGACTTTGCCTGTCTTTCTGCAGTCCCAGGACAATGGAGCAAAGTCGGGTCTCCCTCTTGACTTGATGCTGTTCCTGGGAAGTGCAGTGGGGAGGGGAGATTCCCAGAGAGCTTCCCTTCTGTTTTCCAGGTCCCGGGCTTTCCAAAAAACCTCAGTTTTAAAAACTGAGCCAGAGCTCATCCCTCTGAAACCTGCTTTCATATTGCGAACCTTTTTAAAAAGTGTCTCTGAGCATGTGCAGGCTAAATTGAGTTCAAGCCACCCCCCCCACACACACACTTATCACTTCAGGCTGGTGGCATTTCAGTTAACCTCCCTGCAGATGGAAAACTAGCATGTGAGGAAGAAGGCTTCTCTTCTCCCTGTTATGCTAGCTTTCTATGATCAAGGTATTTGCACGCTTGTGTATACATGCACAACAACGCATTTGGTGTAGCGTGCTGTTGTATCCTTCCTCGCCTGCCCCAGACCAGCCTTCAGCATTTTTCAGAAAATCAAGCACTGCTAAGCCGCCCTGTTACCATTTGTACCTTCTTCCCAGTAAGCAGGCAGAAATCCAACCGGTGTAGCTCCCCTGCCTCCTACCAGAGGGATTGTAGTGATGGAGAAAGCCGCGTGGGGCAGGCTGTGTCCTGCAGCCTGCACACACAAAGGCCTGTGGGGTGAGGAGAGATGCGGAGACATGGCCCCTTCTTGGCCACTTTCCTCGGAAGAGGCTGAAAGGGGTTAAACGCACAGAGCTCTCCTTTCTAGACAGGCCCAGCAACTAGAGAAAGAGGGAGGGACGGGGTGGACCGCCTGCCTTCCCGGCCAGCCCATTCTCTCGTTTTGGGAAAACTTCATTTCTGTCCCCCACCCCGAAACCTCCTCCAGGATTGTTTCTGCATTCCTGGCTGGAACAAAATCGGGGAGCATGACATCCTTCCAAGGGCGGCATGCAGAGGCTGCGTGGACCAGGTGAGTGAAGACCAGAATGGCTACCCTGGAGACTGGGAACCGGGTGGCGGTGGGGAAGGCAGGTTCAGAGCAAGAAACCGCTGGCTGGAGGGGAGAACCGCGAGACCCCCAGAGTCCCAATTCTTCCCTTCTGTCAGAGATCCGGGTGGGGAGAGCCAGCTTCATGCAGATCAGTTTAGAAGAGTCGGAAAAATCTGAAAGGATGACGCGAACTAAACAAAGAATCGTGCTAAGTGAATGATCTTTAGGATGCACTGGCTTCCAAAGAAAATCTTCCCTTTCATTTCCTATGCAAGGAATAAACTATTGGATCAAACCAAAGTTTCAAGCAGACCCAGTATCCTGCTTCCAGCTGAGAAGCTGGGATACCTCTGGGAAGATCACACTTTCCCAGATTGAGCCAGCTAGCTGTGGTTGGAGGGATGCTGCTCCTCAACTAGCATTAACTGTGCGTTTGTGCTCAGTCCCATTGAATTCCGTGAGATTTATTGCCAATGACGTGTGCTGAGGAGTGTGGACTTAAGCTACACTAAGATTTCATTTTTGTTGTTGTAATTCTGGGCTGCATCCCCTTTGCCTTCACCACTGGACTGTGGCCCCAACGCTTGTCTGAAATTGAATTTGGCCCCACAACTGAAGGGTTCAACACTCCAGCCTCTTCTAGGGTCTCTGCCCTCTTGGGAACTCCAATCGTCCCATGCACACATAGAAACATAGAGACAGCGAGTCAGAAGGGGCCATCTAGTCTGACCCCCGGCTCCAGCCGGCTTTGTTCACGACATGCCTCCCATGTGCATGTCCAGCCTATCCTTGAACACACGACTTTGCTCTTTTCATTGCTAATTTTATTTGCAGTGTATAGCATGAAAATGGAGGAGCAGGAATCTCTGAAACCTGGGGAGAGGCTGGAGGATGTGGGGAGAACCCCTCACATTATCCCAGTCCGAACAAGCTGCGACCTCCAGACAAGACCAGCCTCTGAAACGATGCGAACTTCGGCCAAGTGGCTGAAACACCACTGGGCGCCCCCATGGCAGGAATTCCTGAAAACGATGCCCTATCCTCATTTCGGACCCAGGAACCCGCAGCTTCTGGAGCCCTGGCAGTGGGACCACGCCGAAACGTTGCACAACTCCTTCAGGGGGCTAACAGGTGGCAGCCATCGGCCTAGAGGAGAGTGGGTCGCCCCAAGCCAGGAAGGACTCAGCAGGGAAGCCCCCCATGAGGAAAACAGAGGTGTGGACACCTGTGCTGAAGTGAAGGAAGAGGAAGAAGAGGACATTTCCGGATGGGAAGGGCGCTGCCAGCGGTTCAGGCAGTTTTGCTACCGGGAAGCCGAGGGCCCGAGGGAGAACAGCCACCGGCTCTCAGAGCTTTGTTATCAGTGGCTGAGGCCCGAGGTGCTCAGCAAGGAGCAGATGCTGGAGCTGGTGACCCTGGAGCAGTTCCTGACCATCCTGCCCCAAGAGATGCAGAACTGGGTGCGGGAACAGGCTCCAGAGAGCATGGCCCAGGCTGTGGCCCTGGCAGAAGGCTTTCCCCTCTGGCTGCAAGCGGCCGAAAGATGGGAGCAAAAGGTGAGCCACGCAGGGGGGGTCCTGTAGCTCACTGGCGCTTTCAGGCTAGATTCCTGGCATCAGGTAGAGCTGATGGGGCACCTCCACCAGTTCTGGGCAAAGTGGACCAAGGTCTAAGCCAGCCTCCCCCAACCTTACGTATTTGTTTATTTAAAACATTCGTATGCCGCCCAGTTGTGCCACAGCACCTCTGGGCGGCTCACAACCTTGTGCCTTCCCGACACATCTGGACTGCAACACCCAGAATTCCCAGTCAGTGGCCCTGCTGGATGGGAATTCTGGGAGTTGTGCTCCAAATGCCTCTGGAGGCCACCAGGTTGGGGAAGGCTGGCCTAAGCGCCTGTGTTTCTTACTGAAGAGGTAAAGAGTTAAGAGGTAAGAGTCTTTTGTCTGTCTCTCTGAGCTAGTCTACGTGATTGCCAGCACCCACCACAGCTTAAAAATTGGTGGCTGAATAAATTGAACATGGTGGATTCAGTTCATGCTGACTGCTGTTGTAAATATAGTTATTGGTTATATTTTTGTTGACTGTTATTGTAATTTTGATCTTGTTGTTAATGAGATTGTGATGATTGCTTGGTTGTATTTTAAATGAATTTTAAATGTAAACCATGCAGGGAGCCGATAAACTAAGGATATGGTATAAAAATGTTTAGATTGATAGATAAATATTCAAACCACGGTGGTGGTGGTCACAGCTTATCATGACATGAGAACCTGACTGTGTGACTATTTGCCATAGTTATCAACCAGCCACCCCCCTGCAAATGGCCAACTAGTTTGCACAATTCTGGAAGGAATACAAGCCCCTGTGCCTTATTTTCCCTCCCTATGCATGCCAGGTACGAGTTGTCTAAGTGGCAGAATTAGCCTTGCCTGGACTGGCTTGTCTGAACCCAGCGAGGGGTGAGTCACAAACCACTCTGAAACCATGGCTTGTTCTAGGCCTGCCGGCCGGCAGTGCTCAGACATTCCCATACAGCCATGGCAAGTGAGGGTAAAAATGCTTCTCAGGCAGCTCCCGTTCAGTGTGGGTGAGCAGGGAAACAGGCCACCGTGGCTTATTCTCTTTCTGTGACTGAGCATATTCGCCTGTTGGTGGGTTGTAAGTCTCTGGAGTAGCTTGCTAACCATGGTGACTGTCATGCCCCATGGGTGGACATTCGGCTCTAGGATCCAGTTGGAAATCTGGTTATTTCTGCTCTGTCCGAACGTTCACCAGGATGGTCCCTTGTAAGGGTGGGGAGGTTGCAGCTGTGTGGAGTGGGGGGCAGAATAAACACCTCTGTTGCATTCGCTGCCTTTTGTGGTCCCCGCAATGCCCTGCTTCTCTCCCCAGGTGCCAGGATTGCTGAAGGAGGGCTCAACTAATCTCCCCACGTCAGAGCAGAATCCATCACACTCTCCAGAGACGCAGCTCCACGTGGAGGCCAAGTGTGAGGGTAACAGAGCGACCTGCGTGTTGGGTGAGGCATCTTGGACGTGACTCTTTTGCGTCACAGTAGCATTTTCTGTGCGTCGCTGTGCGTTGCTCTTGTTACGGTTTTTGTTCTTTGTGTTTTTTTTTTGTTCTTTGTAAGCCATCCAGGGACTTTTTTTAGTAATGGGGCGGCATAGAATTTTTTAAAAATAAATAAATACATTTTCCAGAGTTGTTAATGATGCTGGTGCTCATCATAACCAAGGAGAATCATGATAATTAAACTTACTACTGCTGAAAAGATCACCGCAGATGGGGGCTGCAGCTAAGAAATTAAAAGACGTTTGCTCCTTGGGAGGAAAGCTATGGCAAATCTAGACAGCATACTTAAAAGCAGAGATATCACCCAGCCAACAAAAGTGCGTGTTGTCAAGGCTATGGTTTTCCCAGTTGCAATGTATGGCTGTGAAAGCTGGACCATAAGGAAGGCTGAGTGCCAAAGGATTGAGGCCTCTGAATTGTGGTGCTGGAGGAGACTCCTGCGAGTCCCTTGGACCGCAAGGCGATCAAACCGGTCAGTCCTAGAGGAGATCTGCCCTGACTGCTCTTTAGAAGGGCAGATCCTGAAGATGAAACTCAAATACTTTGGCGACCTAATGAGAAGGAAGGACTCCCTGGAGAAGAGTCTAATGCTGGGAACAATTGACGGCAAAAGAAGGAGGGGACGGCAGAGGGTGAGGTGGCTGGATGGAGTCACTGAAGCAGTTGGCATGAGCTTAGGTGGACTCCGGGGAATGGTGGAGGACAGGAGGGCCTGGAGGAGTGTTGTCCATGGGGTCGCGATGGGTCGGACATGACTTTGTGACTAGCAACAACAACAACTGCTGAAAAACCAAATATGAGGTGGATTGGCTCCATAAAGGGAGCGTTGAATTTAGGGCAGTTAAGCTGGGATTTCATGGACAGGAGACTTTGGAGGGCTTTCATTCATGGGGTTACCGCAAGTCAGAGATGACTTGACAGCACATAAAGACAGCTACTACTACTACTAGGAATTAATTCATTAGTAAATAATTAGTTATTATGACTAATTACAAACAAATCAATGAAGTGATGTCCCTCAGCTGATGGAAGACAGCCGCCAATGGAAAATGAATGGGGCAATTCTCTTCTCTTCTGCAGTTTCCTCCCACATCACATATTACCAAATCTCTTCCAAAGGTTTGAGGTTCCCCTTGGAGCAGGGCTGGAAGTGGCGAATGGAGATCTCATCCGTTGTTATTCCCACCGCCACTACCTCTTAACAAATGCATACATGCAGACTTGCATGTAACGAAAATAATACAAAGTGGAATTCAGTACTTGAAAATACTGTACAACCACAGATCTTTTTCTTTATGCTGTGAACTATTGCTCAAGAACTAGTCAAAAGAATTTTAAAAAAATTCTTTGTAGCATTAGATTGATAGGTACATGTATTTTATGTATGATAAATAATATTTTAAGCATATGTGGAATGCGCTCCTCAGAGAGGTTTGCCTGGCACTGACATTATATGCTTTTTGGTGTCAGGTCAAGACCTTTTTATTTACACAATATTTTAAAGTCTTAATTATGATGTTATCGATATCCTCAGTCCTGTGTTATTTTGTTGTTGATTGATGTATTTATTAGGTGTTTTATATTGAAAGCCATCCAGAGACGAACCGTAATGGATGGGATAAAAATATCCTAATAAATAAATAATATGTTTCCTTTAGAGTGACACCCAAATGAAATAGCCCTCCTTTTTCTATTTGGACAGGTGCTTGGCAAGTGAGCAAACATGGCAAAGAGAATCTTCAGCTAGGGAGAGGACCAGCGCAAGCGGAACTCAGTGGGCTATTGCAGGAGAGGGCAAGAGAAATGCTCTTCCCAGGCCTGAATGCAGAAGAATCACAAGGAAGTCAGCAAAGTAGCCCTGCAGATTCCCATCCCATGCAGGGAGACTCTCTTTGCAATGAGAGGAGTTTTTTACTTGAAGTGACGTCCTCCGTGGGAGAAGTGGAGGGTCCTGCCAATGGGGAACAGCACAGCCAGAACCCCGAACCCCCAAAGAGAGGGGCAGCTCGAAGAAGGAAAAAGACACATGTATGCTCAGTGTGCGGGAAAGCTTTTGAACGGCTTTCGATCCTTACTAACCACCTGACCATACATACAGGAGAGAAACCATTTCAGTGTTTGGATTGTGGGAAATGCTTTGGTTATAAAGCGCTCCTTGTGAGGCATGAAAAAGGCCACACAGGAGACAAGCCGTACAAGTGCTTAAAGTGTGGGAAAACGTTCAGCACCAGCACCATCCTTTCGGATCATGAAAGAATTCACACAGGAGAGAGGCCGTTTACTTGTGTGGACTGTGGAAAGTGCTTTGTTAAGAGAGGGCACCTGATGCGGCATAAACTGACCCACACAGGAGAGAAACGCTATAAATGCACAGACTGCGACAAAAGCTTCGGAGATAAATCTCTTCTTACTACACATAGGAGAAGCCACACAGGGGAGAAACCATACAAGTGCTCTGAATGTGGGAAATGCTTCAGCCAAGGCTCACACCTTATCACACATAAGAGAATCCACACAGGGGACAAGCCGCACACCTGTTCACATTGTGGAAACAGCTTCATTCGGCGATATGACCTTCTCATCCATGAGAGAACGCACACAGGTGAGAAACCCTACCAGTGTCCGGAATGTGGGAAAAGCTTCCGTCAGAGCTCACAGCTTTTCGTCCATGGGAGAATTCACATGGGAGGGAAACCCTACAAATGTGTGGAGTGCGGGAAGAGTTTCCGTTGGGAGAGCAGCATCAAGATGCATATGAAGAACCATGCTGGAGATCGACCGTATGCCTGCTCAGAATGTGGCAAAAGGTATGGGAAGTCGTCACACCTGATACGCCACAAGGAAACCCATACGGGAGAGAAGCCTTTCAAGTGTGCAGAATGCGGGAAAAGCTTTGCACAGAGCACCATGCTTTATCTCCATGAAAGAACTCACACTGGAGAAAAGCCCTTCCAGTGCACAGAGTGTGGGAAACGCTTCCGTTGGGAAACCAGCTATCAGACGCACATTAAAAACCATGCCAGGAAGAAACCACACGGGTGCCCAGACTGTGACAAGAGCTACGACAAGGAGTCTGAGCTGATCAAGCACCGCAGGATTCACACAGGAGAGAAGCCATTCAAGTGCAGGGAGTGTGGTCTTTGTTTTGATCGCATTTCTGCCCTTACAGTACACCGAAGAATCCACAGAAGCGAGAGGCCATTTAAGTGCTCAGACTGTGGCCGAAGCTATAATAAGGAGTCTGAGCTTATTAAGCACAAGAAGGCCCACACAGCAGAGAAACCGCACAAGTGCCCGGACTGTGGGAAAAGCTTTGATTCAAAGTCTGCGCTGAGAGTGCATCAAAGAATGCACACTGGAGAGAAACCATATAAATGCTCAGGCTGTGGGAAAAACTTCAGCCAGAGTTCAAACCTTAAAACACACATGAGAATCCATACAGGGGAGAATGTGTGAGAGACAACTCTTGAGTGGAAAACATGCCACACGGGTACTTTTGAAAGGGGGCTGCTAAAGGTCCAAGTTCCAGGTCACATCTTTAACCAATTGATAGAGCATACACAGAAGAAGAGATTGTTCCTATTGTGACACTCATCTTTCTTGGTCCTGTCATCCAATCTCCTCCTTCATCTGTTAAAGTAAGCAGGACTTTGACTTTCTCTCAATTAGCTGCAATTCAGTAATCTCCAAAATATGTTGTTTTGGAGACGAAACTGGACAGCCATCTGAGTGGGATGGTGTAACATGGTGTCCTGCAACAGCAGGGGGGGTGGACCTGATGGCCTTCATGGCCCCTTCCAACTCTACTATTGTCTGATTCTATGACTGTTGCTATACAAATACCTCCACATCAGAACTTAATCCAGAGCAGTCCCAGTTTCCTGAGGGGTGGCAGCATGACAAAAACGGCAAAACAAAGTTAATATCTGAAAGGGGTTTTGTCAAAGGGATGGGCTAAGTATTTGTTCGATTGGCCACTTAATCTGCATTCTTAAGTTCAGCATCTTTTTCACCAGGGCTAGTCATATCAGTGGTAGAATGAAGTGCTGATGTGGTGTGGAATACCACAGGGTAAGTTTAGAAGAAGGAAAACCATTGCCGTCAGGCATTTTTTTCTGTTAAATAAATGTTTTCATTCTGAGTCTGTGTTGCCGTTTTCTCTTTGGCTGGCTTCCCCTGTCCTTTTTGGGGTGGAAAAGGGGAAGGGACGGTGGCAGAGGACATGGTTCCATGTACAACGTGGAAGGGATTGGATGCGAAGCCTGGATAAGGTGGTGTGTGCAGCATTGCAACACTGCAGGTATAGAAGGACGCAAAGGTGTGTCCTTGGTTTGTGCAACACACTGTGTCAAACAATGGTCTTTCTGACTCATTAGAACACAGACTCTTGGAGGCCAAAACTTCCACTATATTTCTAAAGATTGCCTTGTTCCTGCAAATCCCTTAAAATCCTGCCCTCACCGTTCCACCTCCATCTAAAACAAGTATTTTCAGTTATGCAGGGGAAACAAACATGAACAGAGAGCTAGTTCTCACAGATGTAAGCTGGTGGTGGGGCTGCGGTGGAATCTCCCAGAAATGAATGCTCCCTGCCAACAAACTGAAACAAAAATCCTCCCTAGGGAAAACTAGCATATCAAGAAGGGTTCTATGTGCTAGCTTTCTGTGTGCAGGGAATTTCACACGCGCACGCGACTCCCATGTGCAGAGTGCAGCGATATAGGATGGGAGGGGAAAATGTGGCCCTCTGGACGTTGGACTACAATTCTCACCATCCCCGTCCATTGATCATGCTGTTATGGGCTGATTAGGAGTCCAACATCTGGAGGGCCACGGTTTTCTGGTCCTGGGGAAAATAGCCTTTGTCAGGGAGGAAAGGGTACCCGAAGGACAGAAAGGGGAAAGGCTTCCCCGTGTGGTGTGGTGGTCAGAATGAGGGTTCACTGGGTGGCTTTGGGTCAGTCATTGCCTCTCAGCCTGACCTGCCTTGCAGGGTTGTTGTGAGGACAAAATGGAGAGGGCGAAGATCCTTGCAGGGGAAAAGATGGGATATAACTAAAGATGTTGACTTCTAAGGAGCCCTTAGCACTCTGAGCTTTAAGCACTGAACTATACTTTATTTCTTAAACAGAAATGGCAGCACTTTACTGTAAAAAGCCACCCTCCAGGACCTCTGCATTGTGTATGGGGTATTCCCCTCCTTTTCTCCACACAGGGACTTTGGACAGAGAGTTAAGGGTGCCACTGCATGCATGTTTGGAGATAAATATGTAATAAATTCAGGTTCGCTGGCCAAGAATCTCTTCTAGCTAAAAGACTCAGGAGCCAGCTGGGGGAAAAGTCCTTTCTGTACCTGAATTCCTGGGGGAGTTGCTGCCCCACTGAAAGTCGGGTGGACTTGGGGTGCAACATTAGACATAATTAAACAGGAAAAAAGTACTACAGGGGAAAAAAACCGACTCCTCCCTGCAAGGACAAAATGAGGAAAAGGTTTTGTTATAATATGGCTGCTAAAAGCCTGACAATTCAGCACAGTTTTAGGCTTAAATTGCAAGTTTTGCTCCCCACCTGCACTTTAGAAATGCTAATTTTTGCCTGCCCTCCTCAGGTACTTAGACATGCTGATGTTGCCCTCTCCTGAAGGGTCTTTGTCTTGTGTGGTCTTAATCCGATTCAGCCCCTTTGTTCTATTCTGATCCCCACCCCATCCCCCAGCCTCCCCCAAACTGTGCAAATGATAGCTTTTTCCCAGATTCACAGAAAAACCAGGTCAGAAGGAGCCAGGAAGGACATGAGTTCAGATTATTTATTTATTTAGTTAGTTATTTTTCGATTTATATCCTGCCTTTTTCCTACAAAGGGCTCAAGGCAGCTTACATCATTCTCCTCCTCCATCTTCTCCCCACAACAACAACCCTGTGAGGTAGGTTGGGCTGAGAGTCTGTGTCTGGCCCAAGGTCACCCAGTGGGCTCCATGGCTGAGCGGGGACTAGAACCCAGATCGCCCGAGTCCCAGTCCCAGTCCCACGCTCTTAACCACTACATCACACTGTCCAATTGTTTCTGGAATGCATCTGGTGTGGAAGAGCACACAAACTCTCTTGGCCACTGGTTCCACTGTCTCACAGCCAGCAATGCTTCCTTGTGTCTGGCCCACATCTGGTGCACTGAGGGTTGTGTTGTCCTGCATCCTACAATCTTGGATGAGGAGGTCTTTTCCTCCTTTGAGGCAGCCTTTGAAGTACTTTCAGAGTGCTATCATGTCTTAGTCTCTTCTCAAGACTGAACAGGCCCAGCTCTTATATTTAAGGCCCTGCATCATCTTTGTTGCCCTTCTCTGAATCCTCTCCAGAAGTTCAGCCTCATTTTAAAACTTGGATCCCCAAAACTGAATGCTGTATTCCAGGTGGGGTCTGACTAATGTAGAGTTGAGGGGAACAAGTGCGTACTTCTCTTTCTTCTGGAAGTGATACCTCTATTTGTGCTTCACAAAATAGTGTTTGCCTTTTTTGCAGCTGCATTACTCTGCTGGCTCATGTTCAGCTGGTGTCTACAGCAACTCCAAGGCCTTTTTTCCCACTGCTGCTGAGCCAAGTACCCCCACCTTCTTCCCATTCCCCATGGGGTTCTCCTCATGAGGCTTGTTCTTTGCTAAAGATTTCTCCCGATACCTCCTTGGGCTTGGGTGCTGCTGTTTGGGCTAAATAGCCCTCATGATTCAACATCTGGGATCCTCAATGTCTGGCTATAAGCTCAAACCAGGCAACCAAAAATGTCAGGGGGTAAATCAATAAAAGTAAAAGATGCTAAAAGAGCACCAATCCCCAATGTTTCCTAGCAGAAAGCCATGTGGAGAGAGACCTTTGTTACACAGAAAAATTGTATGGGTCTTACACAGCAGACACACTTGCCAGATGCAACCGCCCCTCTTGATGTTATTCTCTGACATGCAAAGATTGCAAGAATGGATGAGTTTTATAAAATTCATCAGACCTTCACTGAGGCCATTCTCATGACCCACTGTAGGCACGGGAAATCCCTGGCAGATTCCCAGCTCAGAGGTTAGAGCTCTTCTCCAGACCTTGGATCTGGGAATCCAAAGACTCTTGTAGCCCCCTAGATGCGTTCTGTAAGTGACCTGGGAAAATATAATAAAATGCGTGGAAGGAAAATGGCTTTAGGCTTAATGAAATGTTGGAATCAATGCACTGAACTATTTTTCAGGAAGCACTGCAGGGATCCGGGTATACTCGGGTGGGTGGGGGAGGAAGGAGCTGCCTCAAAACCTCAGTGAACCAGTCTGGAGGAGGCTGCTGAGGCGCCTGGGATAGCACGGAGGAGGAGGTTTTACTCCCGGGGGGTCTTGGGACACATCGCGAGAACGAGCGGATGGACTGCGGAGCACGTGAGAACTGCACAAGGTTCAGGGCGGTAGGTCCATTCTCCACAGTGCAGAAATATCACAGGGTTTTTATCCATAATGTGTGAACCAGCCAGGGTCTGAGTTCCTATTTTATTTACGCATACATTCATTGGATGTATATGTATTTATTTGTAACTTTTTTATACTGTCCCATCACAGACATCTCGGGATGGTTTACAAGAATAAATCTACAATGTATAGCTGTATTAGATTTCCTAAACGCAAATAATTCTTTTGAGACCAGTTTTCAGCTTCAACAGCCATGTTGAGTCTAAGAGACCAAGTAACTTAGGCCAAATGTACCATGTGGGGCCCAGAAGAACTCTGGGAAATAAAGATGAACTTGGATGCAGCAGCTTCATTTTTCAACATGTCAGCTTCCCGAAGTGAGTACGGTGATGATAAATAAAATCTAACGCCACCCCAAAAAATCAACTGGGACAGGGAAACTGATGGGCACTGAGAGATGCAAAAGCGTGGCTTGTGGGACAAGAATCGCCCCCTTTGTCACCCACCCTTTCTAAAACCAAACAGTGCACGGAACATGACATTGTGCAATGCAGAATTTAATGAGGAAGACAATAGTTTCACATCAAACCTACAATTTCGTCCATACATAATAGGCAACATTTAAATTCTATGCACCGGTGCATTTAATTTTCTAGTTAATCTCTCCTTCTCCGGGCTGGTAACTGATGAGGAAGGTGTATATAAAAACCTGGTTTTTAAAAATCCCAAACAGTTAAAAACATGCTAAACCTTTCCACTCCGTTGCAATGCAACACATTCCCCACCCCTGCCTTGACAGCTGCATTTACCAATCAAAAAGGCTAGAAAAATATTTTGTTTTTCTAAATGCTAGAAGTGTTGTTGTTTTTAAGAGAGTATCCCTTTGCCTTTCATAAAAAGTTGCAGTGATTTCATGCTAGGTCAGGGATACAAAAACTCAGGTCCCTGGATCAAATCTGGTTCTGCCATGTCCCTTTCTTTGGCCTCCCATGTCCTCTTCTGAAGCATCCATCATTTGGTGGTCTCCTGGTTTTTATAACCTTTTTCCTTGTATAACAAAAACTGAAATGCCCCTTTAAGGCTATTCCTGGAAGTAAGAGCTTTAAACTAAAGAATGCTGGTGTTTCAGCTACACCCCTTTTGCTTTCAGCTCAGCCCACCAGTGGAATGTACCCTCCCAGAAACTTCTCCAGGATGGAATTTGGCCCACAGTTGAAAAAGGCTCTGCAGAGGCAGAGCACCAGATGCTTCCAAAATTGATGCAAAACCACCTCCCTGACCCAGAACATGCCAGACATGTTAAACTATATTCCCCTCATCCCCAGCTGTGATGGCGGATTATGGGAGAGGTAGCCAAAGACATCCAGAGGACATTGGGTTAGGAAAAACGTGGCCTAAAAATGCAGATGAGCAAACTCAAGCAATTTGCTGTGATAAACTAGATGTTACCCTTTAGAAATGCCAACGTGGGCAGCATCCGCGCATCTCGTTCTCCCTTTCTCTTCTGTAACCTGTAATGTGATTATCCTGTGTTACAAAATCCCAGATGGTCAGATCAGACAATGACTGGGTTCAAACACGTGATAACCCACATTCAGAGGTTGAGTCTGGGCTGAGTCTGGGTTGTTGTTGAACCATGGTTTGTTGAAACATAGTTTGCTGCATCATTTGAACCCAGACAAAATAACACACCAGTGTAAACAGCTCACCGTTCACAACCCAGCTATGGACTGTAGGTTCTTTTCATGGGTTGTCTGGGGTTAACAAGCCATTATTTGTTAATATAGTCTGAAGCTAGTCAATTCTTCTTATAGTTCTTGTTCGCATTGCTATCTGACCTACCGCTTCTGGACATCTTCATGAGGGGAAGGAATATTCCAACCTGGCCTGTGTGCGTAACATCCAAGTGCAGGCTCAGACTGCAAAGCTGACTTGAGATAAAATCCACAGAAACTTCTGAGGTCATCTAGTTCAAGGCAGAACCTTTGAGGGCATCTAGTGCAGCCACTGCTATCCCTGGAATATGGCCACCCTGCTTCTGTTCAGACACCTCCAGGGAAGGGTAAGCAGAGACTCTGTGCTCCTCCATTGAACAATTCTTCTTCCTCAGCTGCTTCTTCGAATCCCCAATCTGGTACCATTTAGATGTGTTCAACTACAATTCCTATGCTAGCTGGGAATTATGCCAGTTGTAGTCTAGCACATCTGGGGGGCACAAGGTTGGGGAAGACACTCCTCCTCTTTGGCCAAACATGCTTCCTTGCAGTTTCCATCTACTGGTTCTAGCCCTGCTCTCTGGAGCATCAGCAGACAAGTCAGCTGTTCCGTCTGCTTCAACTTCATTAGGCTAAACATATTGAGGTCTTTCAATTGCTCCTCATAGGAATGAGTTTGTTTTTCGATTTATATCCTGCCTTTTTCCTCAAAGGGCTCAAGGCAGCTTACATCATTCTCCTCCTCCACCTTATCCCCACAACAACCCTGTGAGGTAGGTTGGGCCGAGAGTCTGTGACTGGCCCAAAGTCACCCAGCTGGCTCCATGGCTGAGCGGCGACTAGAACCCAGATCGTCTGAGTCCCAGTCCCACACTCTTAACCACTACACCACACTGTTTACTGCCTCCTTCACCAATCTGATCTCCTTTTGAACACATTCCAGTTCATCCGTGTTCTTAAAAATGGACACAGCGATCCAGGGCTCCACTGAGGAATCAGAGCTGCCAGGCTGCAGTTTCCCAAGCCGGAAATGCCAGAGTCCCTTGAGCTTGGCCCTACCTGAGCCTAGCTCCATTGCTGGACCAGCCAGCCCATCTCCAGGAGCACCCAACAGAGTCCATGCAAGGCAGTGCACCCAAAGGAGTGTTTTGAGAAACAGAACTGCCGTGTTTAAGCCAGAGGACAACCCTTTTAAAGGCTTTCCATTCTGTAGACTCTGAGATAAGGCTTTTTGGGCACAGCATAGGTTTCAACCTGGTCTCAGCCTTTGTCAGAGCAAGTGAGTCACTAGGAGATCTCTCTGGTGCTGCGTTTCAACTGACCCAAACTTGATGCATCCAGTGGCATCACAGCTCTATGGAACATGGTGATTCAACACAAAGAAAAGTACAGTGTGCTGTCTCTCTTCCAACCCATCTCATAACATGGGTTGAGCAGAAGCATTCTTCAGTCTGGCCTAATGTTGCAGACTCCCCGAGCTGTTATAACTGGAAGCCAACAAAACAGAGGACAACACTGAAGGAAAACAGAACATGAAAACTGCAACTTCTGCTAGAAGTTACCGAGGAACTGGAGACATGCTTTCTGCCTTTGGCAATAAATGTACATCTTGTGTAAAGTCATCATTTTACCACCGTTACTGTTACATTGCACCAAAGTGTCCAACTAATAGCAAGATCTGGACCTTTCATAGAAGTTTTGGGCCCTTTCAGGCTATTTGAGAACCTACCTGTGAATTTCTTTCTGCTTTGAACAGTATGAAGGTGTCCAGCAGAAACTCTTCACTTTCAACAGGCTAAACTTGAAGAGGCCAGAGTTTCAGCTTTCCTTATAATCTGGCTATCTTTATTGATCCCTGTGAAGATTCTCTGATGTTTACAAAGGACAGCAAGGCTACAGAATCTCTCCTCGCACTCAAAATATTATCTGCGAGTTCCACTGTGCTAGGTAAGCAGGGAGCTGTACCTGAGGCTTTGACCATCATCTGAATGTTCATAGGCTTTCTCTCCTGTATGGGTTCTTTTGTGTTTAATGAGAGACTTTTTATCAATGAAGCTTTTGTCACAGTCACAACACTGATATGGTTTTTCCCCCGTGTGAATTCTCATATGTGAAACAAGATTCCCTTTCTGACGGAAGTTTTTCCCACAACCTGAGCATGTATATGGTTTCTCTCCTGTGTGAACCCTTTTATGATTTACAAGCAAAGAACTAGTATTGAAGCTTTTCCCACACTCCGAACATTCGTAAGGCTTCTCCCCTGTATGGATTCTTAAATGTTTGGTAAGGGATGATTTAACTCTAAAGCCCTTACCACACACGGTGCATTGATAGGGTTTCTCCCCTGTGTGGGTTCTTTTGTGTGTAATAAGGTTGGATTTTGAATTGAAGCTTTGCCCACAGTCTGAGCATGTATATGGTTTCTCACCTGTGTGTAGCCTTTTATGTTCTATAAACTGAAAGCTAGTGCTAAAGCTTTTCCCACAATCTGTGCATTCATAAGGTTTTTCCCCTGTGTGAATTCTCACATGTGAGACAAGGTTTCCCTTATTAACAAAGCTTTTTTCACATACTGAGCATTTGTACGGTTTCTCTCCTGTGTGGGTTCTCACATGCATCATCAGCGAAGTGCAATGAGAAAAGCATTTGCCACACTGAGAGCATTTATATGGTTTTTCCCCCGTGTGGATCCTCATGTGGGAAACAAGATTTCCTTTCTGACTAAAGCTCTTTCCACAATCTGGACACTGATAGGGTTTCTCTCCAGTGTGTGTTCGCTCATGTGTGATGAGATGCGATTTTTTACCAAAGCTTTGCCCACATTCAGAGCACTCGTAGGGATTTTCTGCCATGTGGGTTCTCTTGTGTGCAGTAAGGTTTGCTTTCAAGTGGAAGCTCTGATCACAGTCTGAACAGGTATACGGTTTTTCCCCTGTGTGTATTCTAATATGATCAATAAATTCATAGCTTGTGCTAAAGCTTTCCCTGCAATCTGTGCATTCATATGGTTTAACTCCAGTGTGGATTCTCTCATGTATAATTAAGAGGGCTTGCTCAGGAAATGTTTCACAGCAAGATGAGCACTTATATGAATTTTCCCCAGTTGGCATGTTCTGATTCTCAAGGAGTTCAAAGTTCTGATGGAGGACTTTTCCACAGGCTGTGCCTACATTCTCTCTTACTTCTTGGAGCATACTTTCATTTAAACCAGGGTCGCCTTCTTCATAAATAGAAATGTCTTTTGTTGTCCTCTTGGGGTGTCCTTCTTGTCCCTGCTGACTTCCAGGCATCTCTTCTGCCTCAGGACTCAGGAGAAACAGTCTCCGTTCATCTCTTGAAAACGAGATGAGCCTCACACCAGCTCACACCTTCTGAGATGATTGTTTTCTTCCTGGTTTTACATTCAGTCGTCACCTTCAAGGCAGGGAGGGGAGGGAGAGAACTGAACATAAGCCTGATTCTGATGTGTTAATTTTTATCTTTGTTGGGATGGGCAGCTTGTAGGCCAAAACTTTTGGAGTGCTACAACTCCCATCAGCCCTAGCCAGCGTAGCCAATGGCAAGGAATCTTGGGAGTTACAGGCCAAACTATCTAGAGGCCAGCTGTTGCCCACCCCTGCACCAGACCCATCACAAAGCAAAAGCTTAACAAAGGAAACAAGATAAAAGTAAACATTTAACATAACTGACATTAATCCCTGGTGTTTTTACTGAGATGAAGTGTGTAACTGAACATAGGAGGCCGCCCAGTAGAGAATAATGGCCAAAGCACACAGTTGGAGGTTGTACAACCACCTGTTCACAACTGAACTGCGGCATGGGGCCCCTAACTTGGATCAGGACCCTTCTGAAGGGGCTTTAACCCTTTGCCTCCCCACCATGGTTCCAATCCAGATCTGGCACCCTCCACCTAAAATTTGCCCTGGAAAAAAACATCTATTCATTCCAGTGAGAACTTCTACGCAGCAGGTGTGGGGTAGGGGAATCTACACTGGGACCACAGTGTGTGAGGAGGAGAAGGCTGCACTCTGTCATGACAGGATTGGATGGATTTCATAGTTCAAGTCACTGTGTGCTTTTGTATCAGCTTTTTCATCTGCACTGGCTGTCAATGCATTTCTGGGCCTACAGTCACACTCAACACCTTCAGTTCAGTTGAAGACTGTTCAGATTGTCGTCTTCAGCTCAGACTTCAGTTGGTTCACAGTCCTACAGCCAAACTTCATCTGGGGTTAGTAGATGGATGATATTAAATGAATAGCTTCCATACAGCCTGCAGTGCCTGATCTTGCCTCATCTTGGAAGCTAAGCAGGATCAGGCCTGGTGGAAATCTGGACGGGTGATTTGAGTCCTCCACTAAACAGATGGTTGGGCCTGATGGCTTGCTTCCAACCCTCTTCTGACTGTATGATTCTATGATAAGTTGCTTTTACAACACTTTCATTGGCTACATATTTGTCTCTGGGTTGAATTCAAGACATTGGCCTTAGCCTTTAGAGCTCTATATCGGGATGGGCAACCTGCAGTTCCCTGCTTTTCTGTGAGAACCCTGCTGCCCCCTGCTACCAAATTTTCTACAGCAGCAAAGCAAAAACCCCGGTGGCTCGCTTCCAAAATTCAGCTGCACAGAAGCAAAAAGGGCCAATTACATTTATGACCAAGTTAAATGTGCCCCTTTCCTGCCATGCTGCCACCAACTCTGGGTGGCACACCAGTCATTTCTTCCTGCTGCAGCATCACTGAATAACACAGCAAAGAGAAGGAAGGAGGCAGCCCATGGCGGGTTCCGGACGAGGCAAAATTGGCTCCTGGACCCTTGGAAAATGCCCCCCCGCCCCCCGGCCTAAACAATCCCAAAGCTGCATTTGTGAAAAACTGCTTCATCCTATGTAAAAAAGTTAACTTTAAAGTACTCTAAATTCTTTGTGGCTCTTGCTACAGTAAACCAACATGACAACCAACTGGAGCTTCCTTTCATCAGGATGCGTCCCTGGTCTTTGCTCTGCTGCAAAGACTCTTCTTGCTCCTTTGGGAGATGTTACCTGCTGCCATCTCTGAATAGTAGCATGTTGGCTGGGGCTCATGGAAGGTTTGTTCGCTTTATTTGCAATATTGCTATCCCATAACGTAAAGTTCTTGGGATGTCTTACACTAAGGAAAGCAAAGCAATTTAGATACTAAATGGAAATTAAAACCATAAAGTAGCTACCCTGAATTCCAATCACTGGGAATAGGCAGACGGAGGAGGAGGAGGAGATGATAATAAGAATAATAGCAGCAAGAAAAATGTAAGAAACAGCCAGCTGAAAAGTAAAATAACTTATTCTAGAATGGATGTATATGTCACCCCCCCTTACCTGCTACTGGTGTCCACCTACAGCGTGGCAGCAGGAAAAAAATGGGTGGCTTGTCACCCATATTTATTAGACACCACACAACATCCTGTATTTCCATTTCCTCCCTCAAATCCGTGACACTATTTCTAACATATAAACTACTGAAAACAATAAACACCAAGTGTCAATTGTATTTGGACCAACAGGTCTCTGAAACTTAGGCAGAGAGCTTTAAGCCACACAGGACTCTTCCTCAGAGTGGCTATATATTGTTTTCTTTTTTTAAAGGAAAAAATAAAATAGCTATAGCCAAATGAGACATAAGAACAATGATCAAGAACAAAGGGAAATCTGGAGCAAAGCCTTGCTGTTTCCTAAAACAAGCTACATCAATATGGGAGTAAATCCCAGTCAATGTGCAAAGGATCAGGCTGAAAGTAATAATGTTTGAAATGCAGCTCTTGCACGTGACTCATAAGGGCTGATATATAACTGCTATAACGAAAAAACAAATATATATTCAATTTAGATACAAAATGGAAATTAAAGTCATAAAATAGCCACCTTGAATCCCAATCACCTGGGAATAGGCAGGATGATAGTAGCAGCCAGCAGCAGCAATAATTTGCTATTACTGGACTCTCTGTGACCGAATATCAGTTATCAAGGGCACTGAAAGCTTAAATATATCTACTAGAGTGTAAGCTCTATTCAACACCGGCTTTAGAATACATGATAACTGCCACCCACTCAAGGGTTTGATCACGGGCTGTGTGCGTTGCCACTGAAGTGTGAGATAATTGTATTGTCTGAAGACAGCTGCACTAAGAACCACACAACGCATGAAGAGAGCCTGCAATTTGTTGGTTGGGTTGTGAACTGCGCATTGCTTATCATGATTTCTTCTAGCAACTGGATTCAGACATGACAACCCACAGTTCAACCCAGCCAAAATAACGCATCATGGTGAACAACCCACAGTCCGCAACACATCAGCAGTTCAGCCCACACTCAGCCCACAACTGAACCCCTATGCACAGCTTGACCTTTATGGGCACTTACCTCGGAACAAGTTCTGTGTTCAATGGGGTTCCCTGGAGTTTGTTTGAATACATTTATCCCTCCTGTTTCCCTAAGTAACTTCTCAAGGTGTTTAACAGCAAGAAAACCTGTAGCTGAAAATAATCCATGGGCATGATAAGCAATAACAGAAGAAAATGGCATTTAAAAAAAGAAAAATCAATATGCACAGAACAGGATTTGATGTTTTCTAAAACTGAGAACAACTACAATATCATGGCCAAGTTAAATCTCATCCCATTGAACCAGGAACCTTTTGCCACACAGAAATGCCTTGGCTTAGCAAATTCAGAGCTGCCTTCTTGATGACTCCAGAATTGCCAGTGGAACAGACTTTTTCTGGATGCTGTAATACAAGTGGACCTTTGGGATGTCTCTCCCTTCACCCCAACCCCACCCCAACCCCCTCTCCTTTCACCGCTTCCCGAAATGGCCCATCTCTTTACTTAGAGGTAGCAGAGAAAGTGAAAAAAGTTACCCGCTAGTCTAAGCACTTGGCTCCACTCATTTCACCTACAAGCTTGCATGACGCCCTCATCCAAGCCACTTTTCTCGGTCTCCCAAAGGGCTGGAGATCCTGTGACTGGCCAGCTGTTGTTGGACTACAACTCCCCTCAGCCACAGCTGGCATGGGCCACAGTTGGAATGCTGGGAGCTGAAGTCCTTCTCGACGCTGCTCAACCTCCTCTATTCTTTCCCATCTGCAACCGGGGAAGAAGAAGACTGGCCTACCTCGCAGGGCTGTTGTGAGGCAAAAATGAGGGCAAAAGTGCCTCGGGCGCTCAAAATTGCAGGATCTACGTGCTAAATATCCTCTCCAGCCCCCATCCACGTGTTAGCTTCTCAGGCTCCGCAAGGCTCTTTGTCTCGCCTTTGGTGCCGCCAACTAGCACGGCTCCTCTTCCTGCAGCCTTGCTTCCACTCAGCTACCCGGTGGCACATGGGTGAGGCTTTGCAAATCCCCCCCCCCCGCTGCTCCCCCGCTCCCTGGGAATGTCAAGTCTGCAATCAATAACTCCAGTCCCAAGTAATCCCAAAAAACAGAGTGCGGGGGGGGGGGCGGGGGGGGCGGCAGGCGGAAGAGGAAGACGATCTTCGCGTTCCACTGGCCCTCGGCCTCTCTAGGACCGCGACTCTGTCATGTTAACTCCTGGCGGAGCCGAGCGGCGCGTGTCCTGTTCCTTCGGGGCCGCAGAAGCAAAGACGTCCCTGCTGTCCATCCCACGGCGTGTGCCCCGGAGTCTCTCCAGCAGGGGGAGAGGTTGACAGAAACCAGGATTTGAACCCAGGACCTCGGAGTAGGAAGGGACCAGTCACCCGCTCCATCCTTGTTCCTTAAGCTTCTGCCCTGTTTTGGCTATTCTGTACGTTACTACTTTTTTCCTCTGTTCATTTCTACAGCTGGAACTCCTTGGGTGGTTCACAGCAATTCAGAAAATTACTTAGTGCAAATACAAAGAGTAAAATAAAACAGTGCATTTCAGCATGTGAAATTTTAAAGCAATTAGAACAGCTAAAAACAGCATCATTTTTTAAAAGACACATTCAAACAGCAGTGGATATGAATACTCCAATCATATGTGATTAGATTCCAATAAATTCAGTTCCCCCCCCCCCCATTTTGACTAGGGTTGGGGGGGGGGGGGCTTGTTTCGCAACACATTGGACAATTCCTGGAGGAGGAGGAGGAGGCTATCGATGGCTACTAGCCCTGCTGGCCATGTGCTGCCTCCTTCTGCAGAGGCAGGTCTCGCACCCCTCCTGCTTGGGGTAACCTGCAGGCAGCCAGTTTGCCACTGTGTGAAGGGGTGCTGGACTGGATAGACCAGTGTTCCCCAACGGTGTGCCTTCCACACACGTTTGGACTGCAACACCCAGAATTCCCAGTCAGTGGCCCTGCTGGATGGGAATTCTGGGAGTTGTGGCCCAAATGCCTCTGAAGACCACCAGCTTGGGAAAGGCTGGGATAGGCCACTGGTCTGGTCCAGCATAGCTTTTCTTATGTTCGTTTATTTATTTATTTTTCGATTTATATCCTGCCTTTTTCCTACAAAGGGCTCAAGGCAGCTTACATCTCCTCCTCCATCTTATCCCCACAACAACAACCCTGTGAGGTAGGTTAGGCTGAGAGTCTGTAACTGGCCCAAAGTCACCCAGTTGACTCCATGGCTGAGCGGGGACTAGAACCCAGATGGCCTGAAAGACTTGGGACCAACATCTGGGTATGCTGTATAAGTCCACATAACTCGCTAGAGCAGAGCTTCATACACTAAGGCTCACTAGAGCAGAGCAAGAAGCCAGGGAAAGTCAAAGGTGAAAAAAGAGGAGGAAAACCAACTGTGCAATGGATTGACTTCATAAAGAACGCCACAGCCTGGAGTTTACAAGGGCTGAGCACAGCTTTCCTGGATAGGACATTCTGGAAAGCTTTCATTTGGAGACGATTTGGTGGCCGACCGCAACAATTTAGAAATAATGACTAGGATTTATCTTTCATATCCCACCCACTTCAAACAAGTTCTTCAGTGAATTTGCTTCTCACCCTGGATCATGCCGACTCAATAGTTCCTCCCACAGTCTTAAGCTTATTTCTCTCTTCCCCCACATCCACTGCTTCCCTTCCTATATGGAAAGGGAAGCCATCGCCCCATGCAATTCAACTTAAAAGAATTTTTTGCATCCGCTTCAGTGGGCAGTTACAGCTTTGTGCAATAGGTCTGGGTCTGGGTCCCTTGGCCCACAAGAAGAAGTGGTGTGCTACTTTGGGATGTCTTCAGAGGTCCTGAGAAGCCCGAGGATGTCTCAGATCACACAGCTTGGCCCCCTCCCCTCCCAGGGGAGCGCGCAGGTTCAGCACCAGCTGCTCGGCTGCCAGTTCTACTGGCCTCTTGCATTCGACCACCGACTGGCAAGAGGCAGGAGCAAGAGTTCCCACAGCGCTTCCGTGCAGTGAAGAGGATCAATCCTGACCGAACCCAGAGAGGAGTTTTGCAGCTGCCTCTTCCCTGCAGACGCTTCACCAGGGGCGCAAGGGACCTGCACGTCAGCTGCGCCAGTGGTGTAGCGGCATCATGCGAGGTTGCCAATCTCGTGACCCGGGTTCGAGTCCCGGCTGGCGCATGCCTCCCCTGCCTTTTGCCCCCGAGAAACAGAAACAGCAGAACTGGACTAAAATCGAGCCCTCTCTGCCAAATGCAAAGTTCATGCCGCGCTCTGTGTGCTTCTCGTGCTGACCATGCTGGCCAAAGCCGTCCCCTCCGAGGCAGAGCTGAACCAGCGCCTGGTTGAAGGACCCCGAGGCAGAGGGGAGGCGGGAACCGCAGCCAGCGCTGTAAGAGGGGGGCTCCTTCCGTGTGTCCGCAGGGGTCCCCCCTCCCCGACTGAAGTGGCACCTCGTGACGTGTTGCCCCGGCATGTCGTATTTGGGGAGGCCCGGCCCTCAGGAGGGCCTCCAAGACCCAGTTCACTGGAGTGAGGGGGCCCGGCTGCATCATGTGGGAATACGTAGGGGGCTGGGCAAACTGTTTTGGGCAGCCCATGATTGGCTGACCGGCCTCTCCTTGGAGGTGGCACACGGTTTCATTTTCTGCCTCTGCTTTCAAATTCTCATAATTCCCTTTGACTTTCCTGTTGGAAGAGCTGTGCTTAGCCACTGACTCCCAAGTTTAAAAAAGCTTTGTGGTTTCTACCTTGATGGTTGCCTGAAGCTGCCACGCGAGGTCCCCAGGCCCACGGCTGCGCTTCAGAGTCTGGCTGGCAGACCCCTGGCAGGAGGAGAAGCCAAAAGCTTGTGCCCCAACACCTGCCTCTCCGGAGTTCAGCAGAAAAGGATCAACAGTTGTGGGGGGGGGCACCCACAGCCGTCCCTGGGTGGGCTCGAACCACCATCCTCCTGGTTAACAGCCAGGCGCGCTGACCGATTGCGCCACAGAGACTGGGCCATGCTGCCTCCCTGCCTCCCCCAGCCTGAGGTTCCTTGGCCAAAGAGGATTTGCTGACAGTTGGGCAGAAAAAAAGCACCTGCTTCCTTTCCCCTGTTTGTAAGACTGGTGCCAGTAAGTCATGGATCGAAAGCATCCTCTGCAGGCTGGCTGGGCCGTTTTCCTTGCCTCCAGCAGTTGAGAAAGAGAAGAAGGTCCCTTCCTGCCACTGGCCGGGAGCTTTGGGGCTAAGAGGTTGGAAGTACACAGACCCCTGTATTCCTCTGCAGCAGCAACAAAACAGACAACTTTTGCTCAAGCCAGATACACGCAAACCACCTTCCCCGCACACAAGCCGATCACGTGCCCGAGGGGCCTGCTCTGGGCTTCCCGTCCAGCTCTCCCGCTGAGGGTCAGGAGGGACCCTGCCGGACCCATCGCTCCGGTGCCGGTGCTCCCCTGCTCAGGCTGGCCGCATCGGCGGCGGGGACCTGGCCAGAAGGCTGCAGCTGCTCCTGCCACAATGGTTGCTCGACCGACCGGCGCTCTCCTCCCGCCTCAGGTGCAGCAGCCGCTCTGAGAAGCGGATGCTCAACCTCGCAGGCCCAGTGGGGACCACGGAGGGTGTGCGATCCCACGTATTGTGGGACTGCTTGTTCCGGAACAGCTCCAAGAGGCACAGCAGGGATCCTGGACAGGTCATGGATGGCCAGTGGGTGTCTGACGCATCGGCCATTTAGCCGCAGGGCCAGGGCCCTGCCGTTCACCCTGGTGGTCTAGTGGTCAGGATTCAGCGCTCTCACCGCTGCCACAGCCCGGGTTCGATTCCCAGCCAGGGAAGCCTTTTGCTCCCTGCTGTGGAAACACCAGCTGATAGCTGGGACAGGATGTCATTTTGGATGAGGCTACTAATTCAGGTGTAGCAGCGTTCAGTTCTAGTGGTGGGAGAGTTGGGAAGATGCATGTTTTGCAGGAGGTCTCTGGGTTATGGGCCCAGCACGCTCCCACTGCGCCTCTTTGCTGAACAGGGAAGCTGGCAGGGAACGTCCCCCTTGGACCCCCCTCCATCCCTGCCCGGGAAACCTCAGGCCAGGGGAGGCAGGAGGCAGCACGGCCCAGTCTCTGTGGCGCAATGGGTCAGCGCGCCTGGCTGTTAACCAGGAGGATGGTGGTTCGAGCCCACCCAGGGACGGCTGCGGGTGCCCCCCACCCCCAGACGAGGTGGCCGAGTGGTGAAGGCGATGGACTGCTAATCCATTGTGCTCTGCACGCGCGGGTTCGAATCCCGCCCTCGTCGCCCCTTTTCCCCCCTCGATGGAGCCCCCAGGCAGAAACTTTGGCTCCCTTTGCTGTCTTGATTCCCAAGCGTGCCAAAGGCAGAGCTACCTGAACAGAAGCAAGCAACCTGCGCACCTCACTTGATGCCTCTACTGACTGGCGCAGCTGATGGGGGGCGTGCAAAGGAAAGCAAGAGTGTCTCTGGGCACTGTGCAGGCCCTCAATGAAAGCAGCTCCTGCCCCTGGGCTGCCTGGCCAGGAGGCACTCAGGGCCAACGGAGCGGAGGATGGCGCTGGGCAGCTTGCCAGAGAAACGTGGGCACTTTCAGCACAAAGCATCTCAGCAAGAAGAGATCCCTTTTCACCCTCGTCGTGCCAGAGGCAAAAGGATGGCTTTGCATCCTGCATGCGCTAGCAGAGGGTGGTTTCGATCCACCGGCCTCTGGGTTATGGGCCCAGCACGCTCCCGCTGCGCCACTCTGCTGGACGGGGGAGCTGGCAGGGAACGTCCCCCTTGGAACCCCCTCCGTCCCTGTCCCTGAATCCTCAGGCTGGGGGAGGCAGGGAGGGAGCACGGCCTGGTCTCTGTGGCGCAATCGGTCAGCGCGCCTGGCTGTTAACCAGGAGGATGGTGGTTCGAGCCCACCCAGGGACGGTGCTTGGAGTAACCTTTTGCCCCCCGTGTCCAGGAACAGGGGTTCCACATGCCAAGGGTGCTGTTCCTTTTGGGAGCGTCCAGGGACAAGAGTCAGCCTGGGATGGAGCCCGACAGTTCTCCGCTCTACCAGCTGAGCCATGGAAGGATGTGCTGAGCTGGGAGCTGGCACCTCTGAGTGTCGGCATTGATCCCTCATGGCTCATAGCACCTCCAGGAAAGATCGCCAGCTTCTTCCTGGCCAGAAACTCAGCTCTTCCTAATCGGCCACTTCGGAATGGGATCAGCCAACAAAAAGCACGGAGAACAGCCATGCCCACCATGGGCTGCTGAAGGGCATGGAGAGACCATTTTGGGCGTAGTCCATCAGCTTGTCTGGCTGCTACCCAAGAGGATGGGTCTTGAGCCCCAGAGAGATGGGGGGCATGGGGACCCACCTGTGAGCACAGCCTCCTCATCCCGCACTCCACACGTGCGGGTTTCATGCACGCCCTCAGCCATCGCTTTCCCCACTGAACAATGGTGTGTGAACGCACCTCCTTCCACTCTTGGCAGCTAGACATGAACACCCGGGAGACCCTGCCTGGGGGCAAAAGGCCGCAGAGGGCAGCAGTCAAGGGCATGTGGGCAGAGCGCAGGGGATCTGTGGCAGCCCCTCCACCGCTCACTGCCCCCTGGAACCCAGAATGGGACAGCGCAGGAAACGGGGAGGATGCCCTGGTGGAAGGAAGGAAGGAAGGAAGGAAGGAAGGAAGGAAGGAAGGAAGGAAGGAAGGTGCGTGTTTGTGCGGGGCCCAAGTCCCTAGCCAGCACCATGCTCAGCCTTCGGGTCTGCCCCTCGTTCTGTGGGGAGCCGGGGAGCCCCAGAGAGGGCTGCACGGCAGGAGAGACAGAGGAACAAAGAGGCCAAGAGCAGGTGCGGACCCGGCTGCAGGAAATGGGGCCGATGCCTTTGCTCACAGCTTGCTCGAAAGACGCTCAAGGAGAGCAGGCAGAAGCCTTCCTCCATGTAGTCATCAGGCACCAAACATTATGCAGCATTTTTCAAAAGAAGAGCAGTTCCTTCTGACACCTGACACGCTTTCCACTCAGTCCAGCAGCTTCTTCTGGGTTTCCTTGCCTGCAGCCACCAGTTAAGGTCTGGCTGCTGAGAAAAAGCCCAGTCTGTGCCCGGCACAAACTCCTCCACTGGAAAGAGGGTCTCTCCTTGCCATCGCTGGGGGGGGTTTGCACTCAAAGTGTATATATGACCATCCCCAGCGATTCTCGCTGGCAGCAGGCCCAGGCCGCTCTTCCGCTGTGCCACACGGACTCTTTCCCGGCCAGGCAGCCTGGTGGCCGCTTCCCCCTGGCAAAGCCGGGCCTCGGTCCCTGCCCGGCACCGGTTTGCTGGGGAAGCTGTGGGGCTTTCTGCCATCCTGCCCAGGCCCTTCCCGGCCGCGCCAGTGGTGTAGGGGCATCATGCGAGGTTCCCAATCTTGTGACCCGGGTTCGAATCCCGGCTGGCGCATCCCCTGCTCTCCCTTTTGCATTAGAAGAGGTGAAGACGGCACCATCGGAAATGGTTGCCTGGCCGTGCTGTGCTGCTCTTTTGCAGGACCAGAGGGCAGAAGAAGGAAGCAGGGCTAGCCCCGCACATCTTCTCATTAGCAAAAACATACAACAAGCTGTGCTGGATCAGACCCAAAGTCTATCTACTCCAGCACTCTGTACACACGGAGGCAAACCAGCTGCCCACAGGGTCCCTCCGGCGGGAGGGGTGCAAGGCCCCCCCTGCCCAGGCACTTCAGCAACGGGTGCATCAGGCAGGCCCCCTCTGCTGAAGGAGGGAGCATGTGGGCAGCAAGACTAATAGCCCCGGACTGCCTCATCCTCCAGGAATTTCTCTGGTCCCCTCTGAAAGCCATCCAAATTGGCAGCCAGATTGTCTGCTTTGCCCAGCCCTGATCTGTCCACATGGCAGGATGGCTGGACAGCCCCACTGGACTCCGGGGTCTGGCAAGGGAAAAGGGCTCACCAGCTGGGCGTGCCTGCATTTCAATGGCAAGGGGGGACCCTCTTTCCCTTGAAGGAGGTTGCGTTTCTGTGGTGTAGCGGTTATCACGTTCGCCTCACACGCGAAAGGTCCCTGGTTCGAAACCAGGCAGAAACAGCCTCCTTTTCTTGGTAAGTGGGGGGCAGCGGAAGGCCCCCTTGGCACTTCTGAGTCTCCATGTGGGGAGAGGTGGGAGGGAGGATGGGTCCCAGGCAGTTGAAACAGCATCTTTGAAGGTCCTTCAGTCAGGTGCTTTGGGAAAGCTTCCATGGCGCCCGCTTCTGGCCAGGACGGTTCATTGCATGCGCTGCTGCAGAGAATTCCTCTCTTGCCCTGTTGAATTTTGACAAAAGCCGAATATGAGCCAACAATGCGATGGGGCTGCAAACAGGCACGGGCGATCGCAGGCTTCATCGGCAGGGACATCCCTTCCAGGCCAGGCGAACTCCAGTTCCCCTTTTCTCGGACAGGCAGAGGCACCAAGGCACCAAGGCACCAAGGCACCAAGGGAGCCGGCATGGAGGCCTCGTTCAGAGAGCAGGACGGGGACACAGGCAGCCTCGTCCCCACCCAGCCATGGAGGCCACTGGGGAGTTTGGGCCGGTCGCGGACTCCCCGCCCAACCTACCTCGCAGGGTTGTTGCTGCTGTGGGGATAACACTGCAAGCAGGAGGCGGAGAATGATGGCTGCGCTGAGTCCTTTGTGAGAAAAAAGGAGGGATTTCTAGCAGTAAGAGGAGAATGAAATAAGCCACTTTTGAGTTCAGTGTCAGGAAAAAGTGGGAGGTAAATCTAATAAATAAATCAGGTTGGCCAAGGTGAATTTTAAGGTCCCTCCACGTTAGTATAGTGGTGAGTATCCCCGCCTGTCACGTGGGAGACCGGGGGGTTCCATTCCCCAATCTCTTTTGCCAGGAAATACTTCCTGATGGTTAGGACCCTGAGGGTATGGAATGGGCTTCCTCAGGAGGTGGTTGAGGCCCCATAGGTGCAGGTGTTCAAGGATAGGCTGGACATGCACATGGTGGGCATGTCATGAGTGGAACTGGCTGGAGCCGGGGGTCAGACTAGATGGCCCGGAAGACCCCTTCTGACTCACTCTGTTTCTATGTTTCTAAGTTACAGGAAGCCAGATCAGGCAAAATCTCCAGACTGTTGGAGCAGTCCAAAAAAGGATCCAATGACCGAGGGAGCTTGCAGGCTCTCCCACACTGGAGGAGTTCAGATGCAACTGGACAGGCATCCAAGAGGGATGGTCCAACGGGGAGTCCTGCACTGAGCAGCGGGGGGCGGGGGGGACCCCTGACCCTCCAGCCCCTTCCCACTCTGCTATTCTGTGGGGATAAAAGCAGAGCTCTCCTCCGAGCCGGAGTTGAACCGGCGGCCTAAGGATGCCTGGGGTGGGGGGTGCCCTACAGTCCTCCGCTCTACCAGCTGAGCTACCGAAGGGGCGCTGAGCCTGGAGCCGACACCTCTGGGCTTCAGCATCGATCCAGCATGGCCCAGGGCTAGTCCAGGAGGAATCCCCAGCTCCTTCCTGGCCAGCAATGCAGCTGCTCCAGCCACCAAAGAAGGACGGTTTGGGAGAGAAAAATGGCAGAGTGAAGGTTGCTTTCTTCTACTGCTGCCATGTCTGGCAACAGCATCTGGCCGCATTGATGTGGGATCCCCAACGGACAGTTTCCTGCAGGAAGAAGGTGTCTGGACACAGAGCGGTTTCTGTGGTGTAGCGGTTATCACATTTGCCTAACACGCAAAAGGTCCCTGGTTCGAAACCAGGCAGAAACAGCCTCCTTTTCTTGGGGGAAGAGGCCAGAAGGCCACCTGCTCAGTGCAGGATTCCCGGTTGGATCATCCGTCTTGGATGGCTGCCAGTTGCGTCTGAACACCTCCAGTGTGGGAGGTCCCACAAGCTCCCAGGGTCACGGGGACCGTTCATGGACTGCTTGAACATTTTTCCTGAAATTGAGCTGAAATCTGACTTCCTATAGCTGGAGCCTGTGCTGAGAAAGGTGAACTGGAGTTTGCCTGATTTGGAAGGGATACTCCTGTCGATGAAGCCTGCAATCACACGTGCCCTTTTTGCAGCCCCATCGCATTGTAGGCTCATATTCAGCTTGTCAAAATTCAACAGGCAAGAGAGGAATTCCCTGCAGCTCTGCCTGCCATGAACGGGCCTGGCCAAAAGGGGGCGCCATGGAAGCTTTCCCAAAGCACGTGACTGAAGGGCCTGCACAGCCGCTTTCCCAGCTGAGCTGCTTGGGCTGCCTGGGAGCCAGCGCCCCACACCTCTCCCCACATTGGGATTCATAAGGGGCAAGGTGGCCCTCCTGTATCCCCCACACACCAAGAAAAGGAGGCTGTTTCTGCCTGGTTTTGAACCAGGGACCTTTTGCGTGTGAGGCGAATGTGATAAGGCTACACCACAGAGACACAACCTCCTCCATGGGAAAGAGGGTCCCCCCTTGCCATCGCTTGGGGTGCTTTGTGCTCAGAGCGTTTATATGACCATCCCCAGCTATTTTCTTGGACAGCTGGCCCAAGTGCTTTTCCGCTGTGCCACACGGACTCTTTCCCGGTCAGGCGCCCGGTGGCCACTTCCCCCAGGAAAGCCAGGCCTCGGTCCCCGCCAGGCCCCAGATGGCCGCGGAAGCTGCAGGCTTCCTGCCATCCTGCCCAGGCCCCTCCCGGCCGCGCCAGTGGTGTAGGGGCATCATGCGAGGTTCCCAATCTTGCGACCCGGGTTCGAATCCCGGCTGGCGCATCCCCTGCTCTCCCTTTTGCATCCCAAGAGGGGAAGACGGCACCGTCAGAAACCTCTGCCTGGCTGGGCTGTGCTGGCCTTTCCTCGGGCAGAGAGCCACGGGAGGGTGTCTGAGAGAGTTGGACATATCTTCTCATTCATGAAAACATAAGACCAGCCACTTGGCAGCTCGGCAGCCATCACCACTCCCCCGGCAGTGAATTCCACAGATTAACTATACACTTTTTGAGGAAGGCCTTCCCTTTATCTCTCCTAAACTTTCCACCAGTCTGTTTCATGGGGTGACCCCGGGTTTTAGTGTTATGGGAGGGGGAAACACTTTCTCCACACCACATGCCATTTTAAACACTGCAATCAGATCTCCCCTGACTAGCCTTTTCTGAGAGAAACAATCCCAGTTTTTGCGGGCATGCCTCATGGGGATGCTTGAACTCCCCGATAATTTCCGTTGCCATTCTTGGTCCTTTTTCCAGCTCCGTTGTGCCTTTTTCAGGTAAACAACCAGAGCTGAACACACTAGTCCAAGTGAGATCACACAGGGATTGAAATTAAGGGAGCAAGATCTTGGCCTTTCGCTTTTCCATTCCATTCCCGCCGTCCAAGAGGGAAAGATGGTCCATGGAGAGAGCCCTTCACACCAGAAACCCTCCCCATTGAAAGTGTGGGCCTGCCCCATTTGCCCAGATTGGAGTGAGAGGCTGGGGAGGGGCCCCTCCGATCCTTCCCTGAGTTTGCTTTGACCCGCTCTGTGTCTGCTCTAAAACCTGGGGTCACACCATAAATCTGATTGCTGTAAGATTTGGGAGAGTCTTCACAAAACATGTAGTTAAACCATGAATCCCCTGCCATGGGAAGTGGGGATGGCCCCCAATCTGGATGGCTTATAGGGGGGCTGAATGTATTCCTGGATGAGGAGGCTATCACAGAGAAGATTTAAAATCACACCGAACAACATCTGGATTCATGGCGCAGACTCTGGCCAAGAGGTCCCATCGTCCCTACCCAGCACGGGCAGAAACCACCCGCTGATACGGGGCTGCTGCTCTTCCTGTTGCCTCTGGAAGGGAAGGGAAGGGAAGGGAAGGGAAGGGAAGGGAAGGGAAGGGAAGGGGATGGCTTCCCACCCTGCCAGCGGGCTCCGTGCTGATTCCTCCGGCACCAGGCCCAGGGCCAGCTCTGTGCTGCATCCACATCAGGGGCTTCCTGGCCAGGCCGCCCCGTGGCAGCTTCCCTTGGGCAGGCCGGGTGTGCAGGTAGCACAAAGTGCCCGGCCTCCAGGGGGAGCTGGAGACCCTCTTGCCCTCTTTGCTCGGCCCCATCAGCTGCGCCAGTCAGGTAGTGGCATCACGGGAGCGGGACACGCTGGGGGCTTGTGCTCAGCTCCTAGCGGGCACAGGTGGTCCCTCTGCATTTGCCCTCCTGGGGTAAATATGGCAAAGCAGCCAAAGGATCTTTCCCCAGGGCCTCTGTCATGGAAAAAGTGTCGACGAGGGCGGGATTCGAACCCGCGCGTGCAGAGCACAATGGATTAGCAGTCCATCGCCTTCACCACTCGGCCACCTCGTCTCGTGGGGGGGGACCCGCAGCCGTCCCTGGGTGGGCTCAAACCACCATCCTCCTGGTTAACAGCCAGGCGCGCTGACCGATTGCGCCACAGAGACCGGGACTGCCAGGAAGGATCTCTGGCTGTGGATATTCAGATGCTGCTGCTGTGAGAAGAACACCAAAGAGGGACCGGTGCCTTCCTCGCGGTGGTTCATCTCCATGTCCTGGGAGGCAGAGAGGGGGCAAAAGGCTTCCCTGGCCGAGAATCGAACCCGGGCCTTGGCGGTGAGAGCGCCAGATCCTGACCACTGGACCACCAGGGAGGGACAAGGGCTCTCCCCGCTCCCCTTCCTGCTCCTCCTGTGTGAATGCAGGAGGCCTGGAGGAGGGTTTCTGGGCTGGCTGCCAGAGAGAATCGCTGGGGGTGGTCATATATGCGCTCTGAGCACAACGCACCCCAAGCGATGGCAAGGGGGGACCCTCTTTCCCTTGGAGGAGGCAGCGTTTCTGTGGTGCAGCGGTTATCGTGTTCGCCCCACACGCAAAAGGGCCCTGGTCCGGAACCAGGCAGGAACAGACTCCCTTTCTTGTGGGGCAGAGGGACCAGAGGGACCAGAGTTGTGCACCAACCCGGACAGAACCGTTCACCTCCTGGCACCCTGCAAAACCTTTCCTTCGGGGCTCCAGGCAGCGCCATCTAAGAGAGGATTATGGCCCATGGAGAGAGCCCTTCATACACACAACCCACCCCATTCAAAGCGTGGGCCTGCCCCCATCCGCCCAGATCGGAGTGAGGGGCCAGGGAGGGACCCCTCCGATCCTTCCCTGAGTTGGCTTTGACCCGCTCAGAGTCCGCTCTGCGCAGCCCTGATCTGTCCACATGGCAGGATGGCCAGACAGCTCCCGGGACTCCGGTGTCTGGCTAGGGAAGCCACTGCTGAGGTCCAGGGACACGTGGGGCGCTGGGCAAATGTGAAAGAAACCAGGCTCCCTCCAGCTGGACAGCCCTGCCCAGAGCGGTCAGCAACAGCCACCAATCTGGGTGGCTTTAAACGGGGACCGGAGAAATTCCTGGAGGGCGAGGCAGGCGGCGGCGGCTGCCTTCCTCAGCGCTGGCCGCCTCACATGCCTGTTGGTGACGCGCTTGGCCAGAAGAGGCCTTGCACCCCTCTGCTGGAGGGATCCCCGGGGCAGCCGCCGTGTGCCTGAGGAGGCCGCCTTACCTGCCCCTTCAACCTGCCTCAGCAATGCGCATCTCTGGGGGAACGAGACCCCCAGGTTGCTTTCTCATCCTGCTGCTGCCTCTGGCAACCGCTTCCAGGGACACTGATGTGTCACCCCAGGCTGGACAGGTGCTGGCAGGTGTGTGTGGGAAGAAGGCTGCTGGGCACAGAGCGGTTTCTGTGGTGTAGCGGTTATCACGTTCGCCTCACACGCGAAAGGCCCCTGGTTCGAAAGGCCCCTGGTTCGAGACCAGGCAGAAACAGCCTCCTTTTCTTGTGGGGTTGGGGGTGGGCAGAGGGCCGCCCTTGACCCTTGTAAGTCTCAATCTGGGGCAGCAGGAGGGCGTGGACCCCCCCCCCCCCGGGCAGCTGAAGCAGCTCTGTGGGGAGTGTCAGACCGGAGCTTTCTCATGCAGAATTCTTCTCTTGCCTGGTGGCATTTTGACAACAAACGTCCTCAATGTGACGTGGCTACAGAAGGGGCACGTGCTATTTTAGGCCGCATTAATGGAAGGATCACATCTAAGTCCTTGCTGCAGCACTCTGGGGTTCTTTTATTGTTGTTAGAGGGGTATGAAAAGGGATCCAATGATCCAGGGAGGTTGTGGATTCTCTGACACTAGAGTTGTTCAAGATGCAACTGGATATCCGTCCCTCAGGGATGGTTCAACTGGGAATCGTGCAGTGAGCAGCCCTGGTATTCTGTGAGGATCGAAGCAGAGCTCTCCTCCGAGCCAGAGTTGAACCGGCAGCAAGGATGCCTGGGGGTGCCCTACCAGCTGAGCTACCAAAGGGGGTGCTGAGCCAGGAGCTGACCCCTCTGGGCTTCAGCATCGGCCCCGCATGGCCCAGGGTGATTCCGAAAAGGATGCCCGGCTGCTTCCTGGGTGTGCAGGCTCCAAGCAGAGGAAAGGGGCCGCCTCCTTTTCCCACGCGTTGCTCAAGAGCAGCTCAGCGAGAGTGGCTCTGGACCTCCGGCTGACGTCGCAGCAACATCGGCAGCGACGGGGAGCTCCGTACATCGTGCAAAATCCGCTCTGCAGGGGGCCTGGGGAGGCCCATCCAAGCCCCGTCGGGGCAAGGATTAGAGGCCCGAGCAGATGTCTGGCTAGTGGGGGGCAGCGGTCGCCCCCCCAGCGGGAGAAGCTCGTGGGTTCTCAGTGAACGGGACGAGAGGGTGCTCCCCCTCACGAGCTGTCAGCGAAGACTTAACAGTGGACATCGGACCTGCTGGGTGAGCAAATATTCTCCTCAAAATGTTGCCCTTAAGAGAACTCGTGAAACAAGCACCAACCTAAAATGAACAGCCCTTCTTAACAATGGAGGGAGGAAACTCCCCCTCCCGCCGCAGAGTTGAAGTGGCAACAAACTTAGGAGAGATTAAGTGAAACTGGGAAAATTTGAAACTTGGAAAAGAAGAGACTCTTTCTGTTTACTCTCCCCAAGGCGAAGAATCACATTTGAGCTTATTGTACATTAATCGGTAGAAAAGGATTTCTCTTTGTTTTGCTTCTGTATGCCGACGTGGCGATCTGATCATTTCTGGAGTTCGTGCATGAAACTATTTCTTTTGTTATAACAACAAATAACTCTTTGCTGCCACCCTGTGGCTACTTTATCTTATAACAGTTACATTGTCTACCTAATTTTTTTGTGACTCTTTGCTGCCACCTTGTGGCCATTATGCATTATAACAGGCTGTTCTAATAAATTGTTCTAATAAATTTTTCATCATGAAAAAAATTCATGTGTCATCATTGGCACCCACGTCCACGATGCAAAGCCCAACACATCAATCAAAAACTGTGGATCTGGAAAAATATCAAAAAGACTTACAGATGACACTCTTGGCAATGCTAGCGCCTCAAGAGTCTATTCAAAATGCCATTCAAAAATTGGCCTCAGAACAAAATGAAAGATTGGATAACCTGGACAGTCATATTTTGGACATGAATAACCAACTTAGAGATATTCGACTCAAAATAGGAAGGCATAAACTTCCGAGGGAAGTTCATCTTAAGTTTACAAAAAGATCTGTAAGAGATCATGTCCTCAGAGCTTCACGCGATAAACCATTAAAATTTGATGATGAACATGATGTAATTGTTTTGAAACAAATACCGTGGAGAATCAGAGGACGGAAGAAGTATCAATTTCTCACTTCCAAGTCAATAACAAAAGGAATTATGTTCAGAAGGATAGTACCAGAAGGGATATTTTTTACTTGGAATTCCACAAGATTCAGACTGGATTCAATCTTTGAAGCCCAAGAATTTTATGAAAACTTTAGAAGTTCATTTGAAGACGAAGAGCAGACTGAAGAAAAGAAAGGAAGGAAAACTGGCGAGGCTATGGCTGTAACATCTTACCATCCGGAAGAAGGAGAAATAGCAACTATAGACCAGCAAGAGGACGAACAGTTATTAGAGCCAAAAGAAATGAGAAAAGGTAGACGCGTGAAACCTAAGTACAAATATATATATATATATATATATATATATATATATATATATATATATATAAATAAAATAAATACTGCTCCTAAAATGGAAGGAATAATTGAGTTATTTTCTCTGAACATAAATAGATCAATTTCACCTTCTAAGTGGAAAAGGACTTTCTCTCAACTTCAAAAACTGAAATTAGATGTAATTTGTTTACAAGAAACACACATAAAAAGACAACACCACAAACTTTTGGAACGTCCAAACCTTGGCAAGTTATTTATATCTTCCACTCATCAAAAGAAAAGAGGTTTGGCTTTATATATTAAAGAAAAATTGGATCCTAAGTCTATTTTTTCAGATGAAGACAGTGGAATTCTATTGGTGGAAGTGACAATTAAAAAAAAAAAAAAGGTGCTTCTAGTGGTGATCTGTGCACCAAATGACCACCAAGAAGCCTTTTACCAAAAATTGCATACTCTACTCTTACAAACTGAGTATCAAGCTTTGTGCTTAATGGGAGACTTTTATGCAACGGTTGACAAAAAAATAGACCGCAAAAGGGACATTAATGGGAAGAAAGGAAGGAGAATATTTCCAAAGTCCTTCTTTAATATATTAGAGGAATTTAGACTAACAGATGTCTGGAGATACAAAAATACAACTTCAGCCAAGTATACTTTTTACTCTAACAGACATAGGTCATGGTCTAGAATTGATACGATTTGGATAACCCCAGATTTAATTCCAGATTTGTTGGAAGCTGAAAAAGATACAAATGTCTGGGCTGATCCTGACCGTGAAAGAAACAATAAAACACCTAGATGGACACTCAATAAATCTTTATTAAAAGATAAAAATTTTAAAGAAGAAATAACAAAGGAATTAATTTTTCCCCCCAAGAAAATAAAGTTGAAGTACCCTCCCCACAAAATGTCTGGGACACTGCTAAAGCATATGTTAGAGGCTTGATTATAACCTAGCCAGCAAAAATAAATAAAAAGAGAAAACAAGAACAACTTAAACTAATAGATGAGCTGACGAAGCTTGAACAGGAGTACAGGAAGACCCTTCGAAAAAGGACCTCAAGATACAGATGAACGCTCTAAAACATAAATTGAATCTTTTAGATACAAATGAACTAGCTAAGCAAATGAAATCGACTAAACAGAATTTTTTTGAAAATGCTAACAAACCAGGGAGATGGTTAGCCTAGAAATTAAAGAAGGAAAGAGAAAAGAGATTAATGCTCAAGTTGAAAGATGGAGGAGGACAACACAGGTACAAAGCACGTCAGTTAAGAAAATAGTGGAAGACTTCTTTACAAAGCTATACCAAGCTAAAGAAATATCAGTTGAGAAGATTTATGAATATATTCAAAAGGAAAATCTACCAAAACTGCCGGAGAAATATCAAAAAATATTAAATGAGGAAATAACAATGACAGAAGTATTTGAGGCAATTAAGAGGCAAAAGAATGATAAAACCCCTGGCCAGGATGGACTACCAGCAGAGTATTATAAATGTTTTGAAGGAATCTTATGTACACCTCTGAAGGATATATGCAATGCTGTATTGTTAGATGCTAAAATACCAAATACTTGGACTGAGGCAAACATTACCTTAATTCCGAAAGAAGACACGGACTTGACACAGATTCAAAACTATACACCTATATCACTTCTAAATGTGGATTATAAAATTTCTGCCTCTGTAATGGCAGAAAGACTGAAGAAATACCTAATAGACTTTATACATACAGATCAAAATGTGAGAATTATCTTGGATATCTTAGAATACTATGAAATCCATTCTGAAAAATCGATGGCACTATTGTTTCTAGATGCACAAAAGGCCTTTGATAATGTTAACTGGCAATTCATGAAACGGCAATTAGAACAAATGGAATTTGATGGAAAATTTATTAATGCAATATCAAGTATTTATCAAAAACAGACTGCCAGAATAATAATCAATGGAGAATTTACAGACACTACAGAAAAGCTAAAGACAAAGCTTTATACTAAGTTGCCGAGATGGCTTACTCCTATGGAAGCTCTTACATATCAAAATGCATTGAACTTTAATATGATTGTGAGATATGATGATATTTTAGATAATGATGAAAAACTGAAACCGAATCAAGAACTACAGGAACAGGGTATTGATCTTTCTTGGTGGCACAAGGTACAAATACAATCGAGATATACTAAAGACTATAGAATGTATGGTTTTTATAAGGAACTAACAACATTTGATCAAATGATTTTAAAATCAGAGGAAAAAATGATTAAAAGATTGTATAATTTTATTTTGGACATGAAAATGGAAGAACAAGTTAAGGAAACTATGATAACATGGGCACAAAAATTTGGATATAATATTGAGTTACAGAAATGGCAAAAGCTATGGGAAAGAAATATTAAGATAACCTTAGCAATTTCATATAAAGAAAACCTTTATAAAATGTTTTCTAGATGGTATTTATCACCGAATAGCAAAAATGTCCCCAAATATGTCAAATAGATGTTGGAAATGTAAGCACAAACCTGGTACTTTTTATCATATGTGGTGGACTTGTGTTAAGGCAAAAAAATACTGGGTTAAAATACATAAATGGCTTGAGGAAATGCTACAAAAACCTTTAATATTTAAACCTGAAGTGTTTCTATTAGGCATTATTCCTGATGACTTTGATAAACAATGTATATATTTGATCTTAAATGTAATTACTGCGGCAAGGATTGCATTTGCCCAACACTGGAGGAAGAGCTGATTTTTAAAAAGATTTTGGATTGCACAGAAATGGACAGATTGAC